CGCCCTGCCCCGGCACCCCGGCTTTAGGCTGCAGAGCTCCAGGGTAGGAAGGGCCGGGCGGGCGGGCTGGCACGGGCGTGCAGACGCGGCTGCATCTCGGCGCGGCCCAGGGGAAGAGGCCCGGGGCTCCGTGCCCGCGACAGGGCCGGGGCTTCCGGAACCGCACGCTCCAAGGACGCAGCGTGCGACAGCCTGCCGGGGCTGCACCCCGGGAGGCGCCCTGGGGCTGCGGCCCAGACCCACGTGGTGACACCCAAGACCCTGTCCCTGGGTTGACCAAGTCAAACCAACTTGGGAACGGGAGTCGCGAAGGCCCCACCGCAGGCCGAGTCACGAGGAACAGAAAAGCCCGCCCTGTGCACGCGCACACACTGGGGTGCACATCTGTGCGCCCACACACGTGCTCCCAGGCCGCCCGGGGCATGTACACAAGGCACAACTGCACGAGCACACAATCACACTGTACACACGTCCACAGTAACGCGCACACAACCCCCACAGGCACGTGGTCCACACGGACCCAGCGCACCTCTACTCCACTCCCTCCCCCTGCACCCCTCCACACTCCCCACCCCACACCTTCCTTTTCACCTCATCTCTGTCCTACCCACCACCCACCCACCTCTCCCTCTCCACCCCACATCTTCACCCCACCTCTGCCCCCTCCAGACCCCGCCCACCTCTCCATCCCACCCACCTCCCCTTATCCCCGCCTACCTCTCTGCCCCGCCCATCTCTCTTAGCTCCGCCCACCTCCCCATATCACCCCAACCTCCCTCTTCACCCCACCCACATCTCTGCCCCGCCCTCCTCACCCTACCCAGCTCCTTAGCACCACCCACCTCTTGTCAATCAGCCCTCCACCCCGCGCCCACCTGTGCCCCACCCTCCTGTCCGCCCCACCCCGCGCCCACCTGTGCCCCACCCTCTCCTGTCCGCCCCGCCCACCTGCCCTCGGCCCCGCCCACCTGCCCTCGGCCCCGCCCACCTGCCCTCGGCCCCGCCCACCTGCCCTCGGCCCCGCCCACCTCTCCTCCGCCCGCTGCCGCTCCTCCGCCTCCTTCTCCCTGCGCTTCTGCGCCTCGCGCTGCTGCTCCAGCTCCTGCAGCTTCTGGCGCTCCAGCTGCCGCTTCTTGATGGACGCATCACTCAGGTGCTTGGTAGAATCGAAGGAGACCTTGAAAGAAAGCGCGGAAAAGGTAAGGGGTTCCGGGGCACCACACGGCGCCCGCCACGGCGGCAGCTGGCGTCCACGGGACGGGGCGGCGGGCGCTGGGGCGCG